TCACTGGATGCTGCTCTAGGTCAAGGGAGATAAGAACTGAAACTTTTCCCTGAATTTAGCAACAGGGAGGGTTCTGGTCACTGTTTGAAGGCAGAATTTCTCTTATTCCAACCATGTCACTACCTTAGCTGCTGTGGAGGTAGTGAATATTAATAAATTTGTGATTGCTCTCCCAGGTCAAGAGATGTCAAAAAGTCACTGCCTTCTTTAAGAGAGCTGCATGTTTGCACTTATGAAGTATGAGCAATGTATGTAAATTCCTAAAATTTCTTTCCCACTATAATTAAAAGAATCAAAGTATGTCCAGATCCAGAAAGGGTGTCAAACCTAATTGGGGATAGATCCAAAATGTGACCCTGCGTTATGGTGGTCATGACTGAATATTGTGGGTGGATGTCAGGATGGAGTGAAGTTGAGTGAAAGGTGGAAAGGGTGAGTGTGGGTGGTAGGCAAGAGATGGTAAGTACAGGAAGATGTAGGACCAAGGATGTGTATTTTAAATTGGTATAGACTAGAACATTTTAAATGATTATACGAAGGATACTATAAAGAGGCTGAAGATACTAGAGAGACAAGTGTAAGGTTCCTGAAAGGCAGGAAGGGTTGGGATACAAAGAAGAGGTGGAGGCACAGCCTTTTTGATGGATGGATGCATGTATTTCTCTTTCTAAAGGCAAGAAGGAAGAAAAGGATGAGTGCACACACAGGTAAGTTAGAACTTTTGGTGTTGGAAATCTGAGCAGTTCTTAGCTGGATGACTTTGATTTCTCTTTGAAAAGCCAAGGTCATGAGCTGAGAATGGGGAAAAAAGAGGGAGGTTAGAGATCTGTGGGACAGGAGAATATTTAAAAGTCTTCAGAAGTTCTCAGAGTGGGACAGTGAGCTGCCTAAAGAGATGTACCACATGTCTCTCAGGAGTGTGAACCTCAAACAAATTGTTTAGTTCTCTTATCTGTTAAATAACAACAGTAACAAATTGAGTTATTTCTGGATATAGCTACCATGAAGAGTCAATAAACGCTGCCTTCTTTTAGTGCTGCTGGTGGGAAATTACCATGTAAGAGTTCAAAACAATGTTAATACCACAGTTTAAAATATCCAGGTTGTTCTTTCAAGTATAATCTCTTTCTCTGGAGTATCAATTTGATTAAATTGGTTGTATTACGCTACAAAGTAAGAATCCACATAATGAATTTTACAGCCACATTATACAATAATAAAGCAGCAGAGTATTTTTTTAAATCATCATTCAGTAAATCCTGTTAACACTGTGAAATATTACGTTTTAATCTCTTTTTCAATAGAAAGGTTTTCTAAGGAAATGACTCGGAGCCTTCCACATTTATCAGATGCCTTTTCATTATTCTTTTCCAGTTTTGCAATTCTGGATCCAAATTGCATGGCGCGTTTTGGCAGAAGAGCAGAGGTTGTTAGACCAAGTTCCACTGCCGCAAGACGCAAAATTAGTTTTTCACCAATTCCACGGGATAAAGTCAAGTTTGCCTTTTCCCAAACCGGTAGGGAATTTAGAAAGGAGACAACATTTTCATCCAGGAAAGGAAATCTAAAATAAAAAGTATAGCTACTATTAAAGAAAAATATCAATCTGTTGTGATTATTTCTTTTGCATTTTCTTCAGTATGTTAATATTTACAGTATAAATTTATTTTTGAGGGCACTATTTTTCTAGATTAAAAATATTCTAGTTATTTATACAATTTTATGGCTAAAATTTAGTCACAACACTTGTCTAACTTTAATACATATGCTAAAATATAAAGAAATTTTCCCTCAATAGATAAACAAATTAAGCCTATGATGTCAAGAAATAATTTCAAATTGTTTCACAAGAAATCTCTGGAGATGCCTTGAAAATAGGCATGGTCTTGAGTTAATTATTCAATCTGTGTCTGCTCTTTACTATCTAAAGATATTGAACTTTAGGGATACGAAACCAATATAGAAGGGCTCTACTCTCCTGAACTTGTGAAACATTTACTCATGGCAAAACTTTATGGTATCAAAATTATAATTACATTTAAATTGCTTAAATGGCGACAAATTGGTGTAACAGGACAAAATATTAGATTAAAAAAAAACTTTCTGCTCTTTTGGCTTCCCTAATTTTCTAGCAAATTCTGTTCTTTTTTTCATTTAAAATACTCTAATCTCACCCCCTTCCTTCCCAATTCCTCAAAATGCAATACAATTACACTAGTATTTCTATTTCATTACATTTCATTCTAACTTAAGTAGAAAGATCAGAAAGGGTAAAGGCATTTGTTATAAAAAATATTTTATAAAAATGAATTGTGAAAGCAAATTTAAATAAGAGAAGCTAATAGATTACAGTTAATATGTATGCCAAAATCCGTAATAAATCAGTTTAAATCTAGCCACTATAATGGTAGTTGTTAAATTACAATTCTGATTTGCTGTTTTAAACATCCTTCACATCCATTTTTACCCAAGGATGTCATGGGGGGGGGGGGGTCTTTTTTTTTATTTTTTGGCTGTACCGTGCGGCATATAGGATCTTAGTTCCCCAACCAGAGATCGAACCCACGCCTCCTGCAGTGGAAGCATGGAGTCTGAAACCACTGGACCGCCAGGGAAATCCTGGGGGTCTTTAGAATTAACTGCTTTTACTGAATAAAATAAATTCCCTTTTCTCTGACCTAGCTGAAATAATGAACTGAATTTCTCTTTCTCTCTCCCATACACATATACCCTTCAAAAGGAAAACATTTGACACACTTTGTATTGTGGCATTACTTATTTCTTTATAATGAAATTTTGAAAATTATGGTAATTTTACATGTCAGAACTGGCAACACAGGAATGACAAGGTAGAGACAAGAAACAATGAAGTCTCGGAGTTCGTGTATTATGATGCTCCAATTCCCACGAAGCTTATTTGGACTCCTTGTTCTTGCAAGCTCGTACTCTCGTAATAAAACCATCACTTAATAAATTAACCTACTTGAACAAATTTCTGCTTTTTATAATTAAATGAAACATCTTCTTTTATCCTTAATGCTTTAAAAAGTTGTATTCAAGCACCTGTTTACTATCATCAGAAATATGTTGTAGGTAAACACAAACCCCTAAGACTAAAAAAGAATATACACGTGAAAGTGGCTTGATCTCTGAAACTTTTAGGTAATCTGCAACATATGACTAAACTGTGTTCAAAAAACATATGACAGAGGGGAATCCAGTACCAGAACGGAACCACCATTTAAATCAGTATGGATCTATACAGGCACACCTTGTTTTATTGTGCTTCATAGATACTGCCTTATTTATTTTTTTTTACAAACTGAAAGTTTGTAAAACCCTGCAATGAGCAAAGTCTATTGGTGGTGCCATTTTTCCAACAGCATTTACTCATTTACTCATTTCACGTTTCTGTGTTACATTTTGGAAATGCTCGCAATATTTCAAAAATTTCATAATATTTGTTATGGTGATATGTGATCAGTGATCTCTGATGTTACCTTGTGATTGCTTTTTGTTTTGTATTTTTAAATTAAGGTATATACATTTTCTTTTTTTAGACATAATGTTGCTGCATACTTAATAGACTACAGTACAGTGTGAGCATAGCTTTTGTATGCACTGGGAAACCAAAAAATTCACGTGACTCGCATTTTTGCGGTGATCTGGAACTGAATCTGCAATATCTCCAGGTATGCCTGTACATACAGAAATGTCTGTAGAGACAAAGTCAGGCTCTGTAACATTGGAGGAGAAAGCTTGGGAGTAGGACTATGCCCTTATTGGGAGGAAAGCAAACATCTGAAACAAAACAAAGCCCCTTAAACACCTTCTCTCAGTATTTCATTACCTCAAGTTTTACAGTCTTTCATTGTAGTCTTAAAAGCAATCATGTCATTGTATCGTATTTGAAAATTACTGAAAAGTCATTTCTTGGAGAATGAGTTCTGGAAAAACTGTTCCTCTGGCTCTTCTCCAGCTTTGCTTCTGACCGACTGTGTTTGTAATATAAAGCCAAGATATTGCTGCTACTGTTATTCATTTGAACAAGTCTCCAAAGAAAAAGGAACCTAAAAATCTCCCTTTACTGTCTATTGTCTTTACAAGATTACCCAAAAACCCTCAGATAGATAATAGGAATTACCTTGCTTCTTTTCCATGATCACCAATAACTCTGTCATCACGACCAAGATTTCTAGAAGAAATTCGACCCAGTTCCATCTCGATTTCCTTATTCAGTCCTTCCAGCCCGTGTGTCTGGAAGCGGACTCGATGACGAGAATAACCTGCGAGCTGCTCATCTGCACCAATTCCAGTAAGAACTACCTATAAAGGTTTAAAGAAATCCATAAAAAAATGTTATCTACTATACAGTAAGGAAAATAACTAAGATAAAAGTCAAACTTAAAAAATGATAACCCCAAAGATAACATCTTCAGAGAAAAGCCATAAGGCAAAGTCATAAAATAGTAAAATAGGCCCAATTTTTACAAAGTCATATACTTTGTGTTATAGTTTAAATGCAACTGAAATACGCTATATTCTTGCAACTTAAATGCTAAAAGCTTTAAGGGTCAAAGTTAGGTCTCAGAAATCCTGAGCAGAAATACCGTGTCATACCTTTGCACTACTCTGATATGGTTTTGCTTCATCTTGGGTCACTAACCAACCAACTCCTCCAGAAGCAAACCAGACTGCACAGCCAATGCTGTCATCCAACACTGTATCCAAGGGCTGAATTAAGTGGGATATTCGAGTTCGTCTTAATCTTTGCAGTTCTTCCAGAGAAACATTAATTTCAACAAAATTCCAAATCCGGGAAGGGCTGGCAGCTTGTAGTTCCTTTAGCCCTGCTCTTCCTGTGATTCGATCTGGTACGTTGAATTGCTCACCAGGATTAGCAGCAGCAGCAGCAGTGACATTTGTAGAGGATTCTTCAGAGCGTTTTTCACAATTATTTTTCTCTTTTCTCCCTTTTTTGTTAAAACCAGCTGGTATGGTCTTTTCTTTAGTCATGAAAGCCACATTAAGAAGATCAATTGGTTCATCTAAAGGAATATGACGGTCAGCAAGCGCTGCGATAACCATGGAATCAATTCCCCCAGAAAACAGGATTGCAACATTTGCTTTCCTATTACTAGTATTCAAAACTTCACTTTGTGTCAGGTTTTCATCCCTAGGTAAACACAAGACACGTCTCTTGACTGCGATACTCAGGACATCAATGAACTGCTGAACTACTTCCTTCATGTGTCCATCAGTAAGAAAGACCTGAAGGGTCTCTCTTGACGGTGGGACGCTGGAAATGCTACTGCAATGGATCTCAAATGCGGCTTGTGGCAAAATCATATTTAAAGGGACAACAGGTTCTTTAAGATACAGTTTGGCTTCATTTGCTGCCACTGATACAAATGTTGGCAAATCTGCTGAAATTTGAGTTAGGCTATTAACACATTCTTTGATAACATCCTCCCTAGAGTTATATTTCCAAGGATACAATTTTAAAACAACAGATTTGGAAATGGAAGTAGACTTTAGATCAATTCTGAAAATTCCAGATGCTGGAACTTCTTGCCACTGATTGGCCACTCCAGATGTTTGGGCGCCAATCGAAGAGAGGCAGAAACTCTTGCCCAAACTACTAAAATGCCAAAGCAAGCTACGACGGCCAAAAAAATCCCTACCAAACCACAAAGAATGACTAGATGCTTGATAATATATAAAAGACCAAGGACCTTGGACTTTTGAGAAGAGTGACAAAATATCAGATTCATTCTTACAAGAGGAAAGATAATTAAACATTATTTGGGTATCATTCTCTTCAGCTTCAACCTTTATTCCACTAAAGACTTCTCCATTCCACAGGAATACATTGCCTCTTTCATCTTCAACAGGCTGGGCAGTCAACACACCTCTTAAGTGAAGGACATGACCAGAAAATAAACACTGGTAGTTAATATTAGACTTTAACAACTGTTTACTACTATTGGGTCCCCGCCGTTTAAGATTACACAGTAAATCCTCTTTCAAATCTTTGTTGAAATGCTCAACAGAGAAGCTTACTGCACAACAAATGCCACACATTGCTATGTAAAATCAAGTTGACTATTTCTTGATTTTGGTCTTCTCTGAGTTTTCTATTTCTTGGTATTCTTTCCTCAGCTCATCCAATGTATCTGTGGGGGAAGGGAGAAGACATACTAAGTGAAATAAAAATTCTTGAACCTTTACCTAGTAATTCAAAGGGCAAAACAGGTTATTCTCCAAGATCAAAACATGTATGTACTATGTTAGTTCGAATAATAATTTACAACAGGCTTCTAATGAAGAATGTTTAGTATTTAGGGAACTCGTTTCTGTTTGTTAAATGCTTATTTTGACCCAGGCATGGGGCTATGCACATTAAATATACATATTATTTTATTTAAATCCCGTAAGACTTTGGAGGCTCAAAGTGATTCACTCAAAATCACAAAGGTAGAAAGTGGTAGAACAATATTTCATACCTAGATCTGTCTAAAACTCTAAAGCTTACATTAATTATTAGCGCTTCCTAACACATCTTATATTTTTTAAATTTGATTTTATTTTTACTGTTGACTCATCCTTGGAAGGCTAACTTGAAAAAAACCAAACTATTGCATTAATTTTATTAACAGGTATACCACCATCCCATCTTTAGATATATGTTTAAACATTCAGATGTAGATATATGTTTAAACATTCAGATGTAGACAGTATAATTTAGGCACCATCATGAATTTCTACAGAAAGCCCACAAAAGAATTTCTGTGTGTTTCTATATAATGTACCAAAAAAACTTACTTTTGCTTTCAGAAAGCATTTCTGTTCGGTCTGCAAGAAAGAATATGTCGCTGTTCTGTTGCTGCCTATATACTTTCTGCAAAACATAATTTAGGCTAATATCATGATTTATTCTAAAAAGTAGATGTCAAAACTCTGAACCCTATTATTGCTTATTCTTGAACTTCAGTAACATGTTCAGAACAATACCTTAGCAAATACAGATAAACAAACAGAACTCACCCATTATCCAACTATCTAGAAATTGCTACCATTAACACTGAGGTAAAACTCTTTCTTCTCTGCATATACTATAATACCATTTTTCTTTAGTAATATTTCAGTTTATTTGGTCATTTAAGTGTTACCAACTTTTCACCATTATAAATCAACGTTGAGATGAATGTCTTTGTACCTAAATTTTTTTGCACTCTCATGATACTTTCCTAGGTATCAATTCCTATAAATAGAACAGCTGGATCAAAGTGTTACATAGCTTTAAAACTTTGATACATTATGCCAATTTGCCCTCTAGAAAGTTTGTATCAATTGTACCGTACCTGTATCAGAAATGTCTAACATGTCAGTTACCAAGTAATCTCTACAATGCTTTAAAGGGCTCAAATCATTTAACTTTAAAATATGTTTTGGCAGTATAAAATGACCTATGAAACAGTAGCTTGCTTGTTTGTGAATACATTAATGGAAATGGAGTTAAATAACCATGTTAAAGATTTGGAAGCTTTGAGTAAAAAACCTGGGGTGGGGGGGGAAGGAAGGGGAAGCATTTATCTTTTTTTTTTTTTAAACAATTATTCACACTCACTTGAATAGTTTCTACTCTTCTCAATAGATTTAAAGTTCATTTATTTCAAAAGAAAACACCAATTCAAGTATAAAATAAATACCATTAGTGACTATGGCTGCAAGATAACATAGTACAATTAATATCATTTGGTTCAAAGGTAATGTCAATTGCATATGATGGGGAAAAGATTATCAACAGCTATGGCTAATATGTATATAACTATATATGATATATATTAAAAAATCACGGACACTTCACTTTTGCAATTTAACTAAAAAGATACTGAAACCTTGTAAATTTTAATATAATATAAATCTTATATGTAGTCCTTATAACTTTTGTATATAGTTAATAAGATATAATCAAACCCTCCCACATACTGTTTGGAATAACTAATAACTCACCCTGTTCTTCTTCAGGTTAGAAAGTTCATCCACAACAATTTTTTGTTCTTTAATCTATTAAAATAAGAAAACATTCTTAAATCAGAGGTTATCAAAGTATGCTCAGTGAGGACTCTTTAAAATTAAAGATATGGGATAAGTATTGATTGTCCAAATGGGCAGTCTGTAAATATATAGATTCTTTTCAACAGCGGCTGTGCGGAAATACAGGTGGGGGAAAGCTGAGGGAAGAAACAGTGATTAGACTTACAAAGTGTTAGACGGCTCACTGCCCAGACAGGGTATTGGTAACCAGCATTCATATTCAGGGAAGAGCCATAGTTACTAAGTAAGATTTACGTCATTTATTTAAAAAAGAAAACAAACAAAAAAAAAAAAAAAAAAAAAGACAGTATGCACCAAAACCCAAAAGTAATACCAATTTTTCAATGATTTCTTTTAAATTATATTTTAGCTTTAAAAAAAAATACCAAATGGAATGAAGAGTGGGTTACTCCCCCTCCCCCGGCCCCATTCCCATACTTTTCATGATTTATGTACTAAATGGTACAGCCAGACATTCAGAGGAAGGAAGTAGCAGTAAGTGCCCTACCTGGGGTAGCACAACCCATCACTTTCCATCTTTGCTTTACATCTCAAAGGTTAGCACAAGGCTGGCACTGTTGAACTAGGTCTCACTTTTTATTAGTAGAAGAGCGCTCAACTAAGTTTCTTTTAAACTCTTTTCAGTAAAGGTAGCTATATTGTGAACATGACTGATTATATAGTATCACTAGAGCCTCTAAAAGCATATTTTATAATTTTGACCTACCTCGGAAGCCTCACGGATCTGTCATACATCAGTATAAGTGGCATGCTATAGTGGTAATCAGAGTGGGCTGTGTGTGGTTTGAAAATTCATTCCTCACAGATGTGTACCCTTCTGCTCTCCAGCTGACAGTCACTGTAGTAACTGACTAGAGATTGAGTTGAATTCCAAGATTGAATTTGTACAACCTCCTGGAGGCTTATGTTTGAACAGCACTTTCCCATTCATTTTAGGAATGGCAGGTATACTTTAGTACTTCAGACAAGGAAACTGTGATAGAGGGATTACAGACTTGCCCAAGATGCCACTGTCAGTTTGGGACAGAACCAAAGTATTATCTAGGACCTCTATTACCTCAAAGGCTATAGCCATCCTCATCTCAAATTTATTTTTAAAGTTTTTTTTTTTTTCCTGCTTATGGCAGTTAAGATTTATATTATACTGGCTCCCTTTTGCGAGGGAGGGGCAGAACAGTGATAATCAGATACCTGTTTTAGGAACGCAGCTCTGGCTAAAGTGAAGGACATACTGGAAGAAGGTAACAATGGATGAGGAGAGGCCAGTTAGGAAACCTTTGCAGGATTCCCTACGGTAGATGAAAGTGGCTGGTTTAGGATGGTTAAGAGTGTACATGGTGATAAAGGCACATATTTCAGATGGGACTCTAAAATAAAACTGATAGGACTTCCTGATGTACATAAAGGTTGGCTCCCACGTTACTGGCATGGACAACTGGATGGATGGTGGTGACATTTTCTGAGACAGAGAATACAGGCAGCAGATCTAAGGTGAGCAGTATTTCTGAAAGTATTAAAAGAGTACATAGAAAAAAACCAAACCAGGCTCCTCCTCCTTAGGGAGGATGCCCACACCCTTTCTCTCTGGGTGTGCATCTCTGCCTTGCTTCTATCTTAACTAAACAAACTTTCTCTGTGTGCTCTCCCACTTGTTGTGCTATGTCTCTAATAATAAACTTTGTACCTATTTTTACAGTTTTGCCTCCGTGAGAAACGCATTTTTCACTGGGGGCAAGAGCCAGGGATTGTGGTGGTCAGGATTCCTGGTTTTCATCCAGGCTACCCAGGTTCAATTCCTGGGCAGGGAATTAAGACCTTGCTTCATGCCATCACTCACTGCTGCCTCTCTGAGATCAGATGGTGCTGAAACCTGGGAGTTGAAGATATAATGAAGCTCTTCTCCTCAAGTTATTTATCGTTTACAACAATTTGGTAATTTACACCTGTGGGTAAAATTAAAACATTTATCTTTCTCTCTACCTGCTCCCTCCTGAGATTGGAAACTCTTAGGTTCCCAGCAGCATTATCAGCTCCTCTATGCTGGGAACAATTAAATCATACTAAGGATAATCAGTCTAGTTACGCTAAAAAATTGGGGCAAATGCCTTATGAACAATGCCAATATATAATTTCCCTGAAAGATAAGGATTAGTACAGAACAGACTAAGTCAGATAACCTGGGTATATACTGGGCAACACCTAATGGAAGTTCTTGACTTAAATTCTTACTTATGACCTTACTAGTACTGCTAGCTATATTGTTTTCTATATTGCCTGTTTTACAAAATTGTTGCTTATTACATTACCAAATGTGTGACTGAGCCTCTGATAAAATGATGATACATAGTTCCATATAAGATCAATGATTTTAATAGTGTAACTCTAAATATGCGAAGAAGCAACAAGAGGGAATATTTACCTGGACCATAAGGGATTAGTAAGACAGGTGGTCCAGAGGTTTTTGGCTACTGTTAACAGGGCCTAGTCCAGTAACACCACTTTGAGTGGCCTGTCAACGAAATCTTTGTCAGACCCGGGAACGAGCATTCCTAGCATTGTGGGACGAAATAGTCATGAAATGCCCCCCAAACCATAGTTAAACTTATGACCATGAAGGGGCCCTGCCGACTGGTAACTGACCCTTGCCAGCTACCTCTACAAGGACTAAATCATGGCCACTGCAGCTGTTGACCTTCAACACCTCCTGAAAGAAGTTCAGGGTGGAGATCAGAAATGAGGCACTCTGCGGGACTTCCCTGGTGGCGCAGTGGTTAAGAATCCGCTTGCCAATGCAGGGGACACGGGTTCAACCCCTGGTCCGGGAAGATCCCACATGCTGCGTAGCAACTAAGCCCATGCTCTACAACTACTAAGCCTGCACTCTAGAGCCCATAAGCCACAACTACTGAGCCTGCGTGCTGCAACTACTGAAGCCCGGGAGCCTAGAGCCCATGCTCCGCAACAAGAGAAGCCACTGCAGTGAGAAGCCTGCGCACCACAACGAAGAGTAGCCCCTGCTTGCTGCAACTAGAGAAAGCCCACGCGCAGCAACGAAGACCCAACACAGCCAAAAATAAATAAATAAATATTTTTTAAAAAAGAAAAAGAAATGAGGCACTCTGTGCTCTGGGAAAAACTGGTAGGACAGCCCTTCAGATAGACAGATATTTTCAGAAAAAGATTTTATGAGCCCAAATTCTTACATCTTCTCATACCCAGGAAAACACTAACATCATTAATGGTAACACCTGCTTTGGCTATTAAGGAGAAAATTTTCAGACCAATAGCACCTGTTATCTATGTGTTAATACCACCTTAAAAGTTAAAACCTACTTAAATGAAACTAGACAACTGGCTACCTGGCTACAAGTCACCCCAAAGCGTCAGGTCCAGACTGGGTTTCAGGCTTTATCTCCTGAAAAGAAATGAGATCTATTTTGTCTATTAACGTTCAGGTTGTCACTCCTCCAACTACTAACTAGGTCTGTCACACCTACGTCAATAACACTGGGTTAGTAGAAAAAGACATCAAAAAGTTATATGACCGTGCTCAATGGCTTCGTTCCTTTGGACAGGGTAACCCAAGCGCTGACACTATCTGGACTACAGTTAAGGTAATGCTATCAAATGTAACCTGGTTCTTACTCCTGCTTGGGCCCCTGGTTACAATAATTCTTTTACTGATCTTTGGCCCCTGCCTTTTATTAATCTACTTGTCTAGTTTGTTCCTTCTAAGGACACAACGGTGTCCCAGACAAGATGACAGTGATGCAGATTCCAGCCACTCCTTGGAATACCAACAGAAGTCAATGGGCCCCTTAATGAGACAGGACGAGAGCTCTGTGACCCCAACTAGGTAGGGTCTACGAGCCCCCGTCAGCATGAAGAAGCTGCAGAAGACAGACCTTTGCCCTTCAACCTCCCAATACAGATGTATTGGGGTTCACATCTCTCAGGGGGAATTTGAGGCAGGAGATAGATGGGCTCCAGGCTAGACATTTACAACTGGCCTCCCGTTCACACTTCCTGGAGTGAGAAGAAGATGGGCTTCAGACCGGACTTAATTACCAGCTCCCTGTTTACATTTCCTGAAGCAAGAGACAAACGGGCTCCAGGACTACATATTTATGACCGGACTCTTGTCTATATTTCGAGATCTGCACCTCGATATAAAAACCAGCAACAGAAATAGAGTAAATAACTGGACAATGGACATTTTTATGGCAGAGACAGAGCGCGACTAAACCCTGTGAAAAGATCAAGAGGTCATACATTTCCCATCCTTGGGGCAAGGGAAACATTGCACATGCGCAGAAAGGCTCCTTGGGGGTCAAAAGGGAGGGGGCACCACCCCATAATATGTGATGGCCGTCCCATACGCCTCTGGGCTGTAATCCACCTTGGAAAAAAGTTGCACACGCATGTTGGGGAGGATCCTAGGGCAGGGCAGGTGTGGAAAAAGAAACCAGACAATGGGCCAAAGGTAAACAAAGACCTGGAAGAACTGCCCTATATAAACGACTTCACCACCTCTTTACTGCGCTCCTCCTCATTACGGGGGGGACATCCACACCCTTGCTCTCCGGGTGTGCATCTCTGCCTTGCCTCTATGTTAACTAAACCGTTTCTCTGTGTGCTCTCCCACTTGTTGTTGTGCTATATCTCTAATGATAAACTTTGTACCTTTTCTTTTTTTTAAAGAAAAGAAGCAATTATGAATCTCAAAGACATTATGCTGAGTAAGAGACGCATACGCCATGATTTCATCTACATGATGTTCTGGAAAGGATAAAACTATCGTGATGCAGAGCAGATCAGGGGTTGCCCGAGGTTCTGGGTTGGGGAGAGCACGGCTATAAAGGGAGACTTTTGGGGCCATGGAACTATTCTGTATCTCAATTGTGGTGGTGGTCACACAAATTCACACATGTGTTAAACTTAGAGAAAAGGAAAAGGGATCAAATTTTACTGTACGATAATTTTTAAAATAAAACTTAAAAAAAATCATAATTTTAAAAACAAAAAACTAAACCCCCGCCCTACTGCCACATGGGTCTAATATTGGGGCAAGTTTCAAGGTCTCCCTTTAACTGTAGCTGTCAAAGCAGCGGGACAAAGCCGAGACCGGACCACGCGGCCGCCGTGGATCTTCTCTGGGGGGCGAGCGGCGCCCCGTCCCGAGCCTGGGGGCCTTGTCACCTTGTCCCACACTCACCTTGCTGCTAAGATCTTCCTTGTGCTGGGTCGAGTTGTCGGTAGGGACCAGCCCGGAGCCGTCCTCGGGTCGCGCACCTCGGCTAGGCATCTCCACGGAGCGTCAAATATGCAGGATGCGTAGCCCGGAGAGCGTTTTAGCCGCTTCCAGTCCAGAGTCCCAAAATGTCTGAGCTCCCAACGGCTCCATCCCCTCCCTTTCCCTTTTCCGTCAGTCCTACCAATGGCGTCTGCGCGCTCACTCTTACGCCTGCGCGCTCACTCTTACGCCTGCGCGCTCACTCTTACGCCTGCGCGCTCACTCTCTTACGCCTGCGCAGTTCGGATCGGGCCTGGGAGCAGTTGTACGCGTGCGCACAAATGATTAGTGAGCACGTTACCAGAGCCTGATTGTGAAATCTGAGAGGTTCCTGAACGTTCCCCTAGTGGATGGGGTGTTGAAACGCTCTTCACCACGTGGCATCCGGTAGACTGTGAGTTATATGCGCCCCCCAGTGGTAAATATAAAGAATAGAAGCGCTGTAGAAATACTGCTTAATATTTATTATCTAGGCAAGAATATGAAGCCAGGCACAAATTTAAGAGCTACGTTGTTGGCAATGGAACTGTGCAGACTAGGTAAAGTTTTTGTTAACTTGTTATTAGGGTTAAAAGATAAATACAGGATTCCCAGTTAAAAATGAATTGTAGGGCTTCCCTGGTGGCGCAGTGGTTGAGAGTCCGCCTGCCGGTGCAGGGGACACGGGTTTGTTCCCCGGTACGGGAAGATCCCACATGCCGCGGAGTGACTGGGCCCGTGAGCCGTGGCCGCTGAGCCTGCGCGTCCGGAGCCTGTGCTCCGCAACGGGAGAGGCCAAGGCATTGGGAGGCCCGTGTACCGCAAAAAAAAAAAAAAAAAAAAAATGAATTGCAGATAAATGAATAAATTTTTAGTATAAGTATGTCCCATGCAATATTTGCAATATCTCACTCCTATGAGAAAAATTATCCAAAACTTGGAAATAGGCAAGAATTTACCAAGGTGTTCTTTCATAGCTTTGCTGAGCTTGACTTTATGTTGACTGGGCTATTTTATAATTCTGTAGGGGCGGGGGTGGGGGGGGTAACGGGTAGATTTTTGTCTGGCTGATATGCAATAATTTGTATCTGATACACCAGATAACCCGACACGTTGTGACTTATTGTTCTGTAAGATATTAAACAGTTTTGCATCTAGCTCTGCAATCCTACCCTAATTTTTAAAATGAATATATGTCTACTTTCTCATGTACTCTTAGAATTGGTTTTAGCATCTTACTTGTTCGCTCATTAATTAATGAGTTGAATAGAACTTTGACAAATGTTCATTTTATATTTGCACAGGAGACATGGTTTACTGTTTTTGAAAATTATACTTTAACGTAGGAAATCTCAAGTTTCCACAGAGATGCTCAAGTGAACTCATGTGATGGAGCCAAACTTTATGGCTAAGGAAGTGTACCTCATGGGTTGTTTAAACCCAGGAATATCTTTTATTGGCTCTTAGAGTAAATCCAAAGCAGTTATAGAACTAACCACAGTCTGTTTTTCCTTTTTACTGATTTTTTAAAAAAAATTTGTTTTTGTTTCTGATTTATGCATAGCTAAGTTATTCTGCATTGGTAGCAATGATTGAGAATTTGGTTTTACGCCTAACCATTTGGTGATACCTGTTGAATGATGGCTATCTAGTCTTTATTAGAAGTGAGATGACAAAGAATCCAGGTTTTTAGTCTTTTCATTTGTCCTTTGTGAGCTCAGATTGATTAAGAATGTTGTGCCCACTGGGAAGAATAGCTTTTTGAGATCTGAACTGGTGAATTTTTGTGTGTCTGTGTTTACTTTCAACCTGGGGTTGAGGTTGTAAAGCTGAAGCTATAAGCTTTCTAGGTGTCTGTGTCTATAATTTATAACAGCCTTTATATTTTGCTTAGTAAAAGTAAAATGTTTTCCTACTCTGTAGGGTATTAATAAATTCCATTGTAATGCCTCTTAAATTAAAGGAACTTTGTTCTGATTGGTCTACAGACGTACATATGCACTTGCATAAATCCCCCAAATTAAAAAAAAAAAAGCCTAGAATTTCTAATGCTTTAAGTGTGCTAAACTTAAAAAACAAAAAAGTCCTTCTTACAAAAACTACTAGCTTAGAAACATTTGAAGAATCCAAGTTTATATAATTAAGGTGAGTCTTTGGAGAAATCAGCCTGGATTAATAATGTTGGTTTAAGAAAAGAAGGCAATTATATGTCTTTTCTCTGATTTATCAATGTTAAGTAAAATAAATACACATTTTAAGAATAACATGTAGATTTGTTTTCTCATGAAGAGATTAGCTAATTTGAACTTCCTAAACTACTTATATTGATTTACTCATTAAATAAACTAGCATTATTGCTAGAAAATATTTAAGTTTATGAAAAATGTTAATTTGTGTTCACTAAGATAACTTATTAAGACAAACTTTTTATCTCAACAGTAATTATGTTTTATACTCTAAATTTAAATATAATTCCAAAATCCTTAGGTAACTTAAAACCCTAAGATAATATTAAATTATTAATTAATCATTAGATAACTAGGTTATTTTAAAAGTTGAATACTGAAACAGTGATTAATAAAAGCATAATTTTAAGTTTATATGCTTCTTGCTTTTGTATGCTATAGAATGGCTATCCTTTTGGGTCATGTTAATATACATGTTCATTTTTGCCACTTTCAGAAGGTGTGAAATGAATGTGTGTGGCTGTAGAGACTTGTGTTATGTGGACTTATAAGCTTTATTCATCTGCTAAAATGCTTGCATATGATAGTTCTCGATAATCTACCTCCAGTTTTCCTATGAAACAGAACTTATTAAATTGGTTAAAAGTTATAATTAATATGACCACATTAAGGGCAGGAATAAGAGAGCATGTAAGGTAATGGAATGAGTCTTGTTTTGAAAGGAAAAAAAGAGTCCTAAAGTGTCACTTTATTCAGAATATGAAAGAGCACAGTGAAAGACAAAAACTTGAGGAAGTATAGCAAGTTGGAGAAGGTTTGATGAAAGTGGATCTTATTTGCCTTGGTTTGTAATACCAGGCCCCGAAAGGAAATTTTGAAATATGCTAAAAGTTTGGCAAAGTACATTCAGTTTTGAAGTCCTATTCACAAGATAATTATTTTTTAAAAACGTTACTGCCAAATTTTATGTTAATTAAAAACTAAAATTTGGCATTCTCTTAACCCACCTCCTGGCTCCATTTTCCAAAACCTTTAGGATTCACTACAATTGATCTGGTGGGAACCTAGGAACATGCCTTTCCTAACACTGACACATAGGATGTCATCTTAACTAGTGTTTGGAGGTGATGGGGAGGCTTATCTGTAAAGCTAAAGAGAATGAACTTCCCAGTGTATTAGGCTTCTTTGTACCTTACCTTCTATGGCAGTGTCTGGCAGAGTGGGAGCTCTGGTTAATCCTTGAGTTGACTCTGACCCACAATTGTTTCCCTACTGAGTAACCAGAAACACTGCTGATTGGTCTACAGTTGTTCACCCCGCTTTGGGAGGGGTGGTGTTGGGAGAGCTGCTGCTTATCGCTCTGCTGTGGTTCTGATGTTTCTCTTTATTTATTGAGGCCACCCAAGATGACATAATATTAAACAATACAGTGATAATCATACTAGTATGGTGATAAAACGTTTTCAAAGTTCTTTCATATTTTGTCTTGTTTTTGTCATTTTTATCCAGTTACTTCTATCTTCCCCCCTCAGTTGCTGTAACTTCTGTGTTGCTTAAAGTCACACTTTAGGGTTACTTGGTATCATTTGTCTTGCCTGACTGGTTTAGGGCTGCCTGTCTGGAGCCCAGGATACGAATAGCTAGGCTGTTCTTCCTTCTTTCATGCATCTTTCAGTTAAGTCCATTGCCGTTGTGTGTCCTACTTCATAGAATAATTTCATATTTATTAATGCTATTTATACTCTTCCTCTGATGCTACATTCTTAACATATTTCATTCTGTTTAATAATACATAGTTCAATATTGACCATTTTGTAAAAGTGCTGTGTATTATTAGCTTGGCTTCTAAGGTTTTGAAGAAATAATATCCCAAACATTGTTTTTCCTTGCTTACTCAATGTAATCTAACACAGATTTATTTCTAGCCACATAAGTCAGTCTCCGTCTGGTCTCTCCCAAATAAGGTGTGGAACAGTGCTGTGGTCCCCAAATAACAGTTAGTAGAAGGGTGACATTCTTACTATATAAAAGCGTCTGAAAAACTTGTTCAGTTACATACTGATTTCTCAGTCCTTTTCACAGATTTACTAAATCAAATCTTTGTGGATGGGACATGGTTGTCTGCTGCATAACTAAGTGCTTACCATTTACCCTATAACCAGAATGTCTGGTTTGAATTTTGGCTTCTACATATGTTAGGTGTGTGACTTTGGGTAAGTCATTAAACTTCTCAAGCCCGTTTCCTAATCTGTAAAATGAGAGCAATAATGGTGCCTAGCTCAAAGGGTTGTTGTGAGGATTAAATGAGTTAATATTTGTAGAGTGTTTTTTTTTAACAGTTTCAGCCACATAGTCAGCAGTATCTAAGTGTGTGTTAAATAAATAAATCAGAAGTTCCCCCAGATGATTTTAACACAAGCAAGGTTTATGAACCAATGGAATGGAAAGAGCCAGGCTCTGAAATGCTTGACTCATTTCTCATTGAAGATATACCCTCTCTTCTACTTCCAGTGATTCTCAGCTGGGCTAGGACTGTCCCCAGCTGAGGCTTTCGAAATTATGTGGAGGCACTTTCGGTTGTCACAGTATTTGGATGGTTCTGTTAACTCTGATGGGGACAGAAATAACTGGGAGCCAATCGAAAAGAGACAGACTGAGCCACAGACTCTAAGAAGCCTGGACTAGCAGGCCAAAGAGCAGTCTCAAGGAGCAGACGAAGGCACTGGGAATCACGTGGGATGGGAAGAGGGACGGCCTCTAGGACCAAATCACAAGGAGGTGAAATCAAGGGCAAGGTAATATTGCAATCTAAGCAGGTAATTTGCACCGGGAATTCTGTCAGAAGATGTTGGCCAGAGATATTTGTAAGCAGCCTCTAGGATCTGAAAGGGGGACCATGGGGTCTCTATCACCCAGGCATTGGCGGGACGCAGCGACTTAGTTCTAGTACGGAAGTGAATGCATCAGGTTGATCTTGGT